GGATGCGGGAGATAACATTTAATAGATTGGAAATCATATTGAAATTTGCGTCCCACCATTTTGTAAGGGAGGGAAAATTCGTTTGTGCTTTTGCCCAGTCCCGCTAGAATTGCTTCGTCCAAGTTAGTAGTCTTGATTCACTTAGATTTTGAGTGTTCAATCTGAAGAGGCCTTTGCCACGAGTGAAGTTTGCAGTGTGAATCGTCAGAAACAAAAATAACAGGCTTATGGTCTAACATCGACTGTCAAACTTCATGAATATCCTCAATGGAGTCCCAGATGTTCGATGAAGTGAGAAAAAAGTCAAGACGTCACTTGGTAATGTCTGTGGAGTCTCGGTAGTGCGGGAACCAAGTGAATCCGTTGAAGTCTGGATGAGTAAGTCTGTATGGGTCAATCAAATCTAATTCATCCATCACAGTCAAAAGAGAGGATTTATCCCTGGTATGTTTAGCTCCAGGGGTAATATCCGAAGAAGTATTCCAGTCTCCTGTGATAATTATAGGCTCGCCACACAGGCTGTCGAAACTCAAAGAGTTTCGACATATGTCAGAGAAAAATTAAAAGTTGGTGGTCGACAGTTTACCCACCCTTCGCCACACAGGGTGTTGAGGGGTAAGTTTTTTGGTCATGGGCAGGCGGACGGGTGTCACGGAACAGTCCCTGACAACCCAAATCCGAACACAATTTTCAAAAGGTCGGCGGGCCACTGTCGAATTTCCATCACCTGCAGGCTGGAGGAAACGATTGCTGGAGAGCGGCTGTCGAAAGTACCATCCTGACACCTGTCAAAAGTTTTTTGAGTCGCAATTCTTCGAAAGTCTGTGTGGCGATGCAAAATTGTCGAAAACTTGTGTGGCGAGCCTCTTAATTTATCACTGTCTGGAACAATTGACAAAAGATCAAGGAAAAAAATGGTTCTCTCTTTCACCAACTGGCGCATAGACAACTGCAATCACCCAATAAGGGCCTCGTTCCACTACTCGCCATCCGCCACGGATGGCGGATGCAACTTCGTTCCACTGCATCGCCAATAGCCATGAAATGGACGCTATCAGAATTTGGGTCTGAAATCACTTGGCTATGGGTCGCCAAGGCTTTCCATTTCCCGTGCCTACAACGGCCCTTCGTGGAGGGCGCTACTCCTCACCCCTCCGTGAAATGCTTCGTGTGGCGATTGGCCCTGACACCGCGGTCCTGACAGTCGACCTGCGTTGTCCCGTAGTGTTGGCGAGTTTTCGCTGCACCTAGAGTGATTTCCAGCCCGAGTACATGGTGAAGAGAAGGCCGCCACCGTTCCATTAGCCCGCTGTCCGCCACAATCCGGGGAGCAGGCCGGGACAACAACCACAACGCACGTGGCGGTGGTGATGTAATGGAACCAATACCCGTTTTCCGCCGGAAAAATGCACTTTTCGGCGTCGCCAAGTCTCGCCACTGTTTGCGGCGGATGGCGAGTAGTGGAACGAGGCCCTAATTGCCATCCGTGAAAACTTTGAGCCATGCCCAACGTCCCCAGATATCAGCATAGAAATCCACTATTCCTAAAATTGGCTTTTGCGCACGCATTTCTTTTTTCTTGTTTTTTGTTTTTGTTTTTGGACGCATTTTTTTCCTCGGGGAAGCGCCGTGGGGATTTTTTTTTTTTTTTGGAAGAATCATTATTTCATTAAAAGATCATAAACCGGAGGCTGGGAATCCTCACATACAACCCGGAAGGACAGTCTGGGACTATTGCCCAGATAGAGCTTTGTGCTGGAAACCGGGTCCAGCATCCCACCTCCTATCTATACAGCCTGTTCTCCCAAAAAGAAACTTGAAGCTCATGAAAAAGGGGGGCAGAAGCAGATACTGAAAATCTTTGTACCATTCAACCTTCCTGCCTCCATCCAATTCATCAAACCAGAACCAAACCCCTAGGGCTTAGTTCACCAGATCTCAAACCTTGGGAACTCAACCAACTTTCATACCAATGAAATACCTGCGCCTATTACAGCTCTTTGAACCAACCTATGACTAGTCCCCTAACGTGGGGAAGGATCAATCTTCTCAATTGCAGAGCCTAAATTCGGTCTGTTTCCAACTATTATCTTGGAGGCGGGACTTCTCAAGTTTTTTTTAGCCACCCAGTCAGATCTAATTTCCTTTCCTGTGTCACTGTGACCAACCTATTGTCCTTAGCCCATGTCTTAAGAAACCAAAGATAGCCTTTTTTCTTACTTTTGATGCACAGCAGCCAATCCGCTCCCACCATTCTTCTGATGTTAAGACACTCTTTTGTTCCTGTAAAGAGATCCTTATGCCTGTGAAAACCAGGGAGTTTCTTGCCCTCCAGATCTCCTGGAAGATGATCCCCCTGCATACCAATGCTACATATCCCCAACCTTCCTTATAGGACGTATTGTTTGCGGGTAACAGACCATATAATATCCAGTTATCAGACCAAGGCCACGTCGCGCCAGCAGCCTGATCCCAAAGGTTAATCCACCACATCCAGAGTCCGTCCACCAAAGGACGAAACAGCCATAAGTGGGCGTTTGATTCCCAGCCCGACTGACATCTTTTGCAGGTGATCGACAGCTCCGTACCTCTCACCGAGAGCCAGAGTGAAGAAGTCGCTACCAACATTGATTGAAGCCACAGTAAACTTGCATCCTTCTGAGAAGGGAAGACCCTTGAGACGTTTCCAAAATTTACCGTGGGGATTTTCCGTGCTGGTCGGCACTGCCGGAAAGGAGTAGGCAGGCGGACCCGAGACGAGCCACGTGCAAACGGCCGTGCTGAAGTGCAGCCCCTCTCTCCCTCTCTTCCTCTCCTTCTCCCCCCCTGCCCCACCTCGCTGTGCTTGCGGTTTTGTGCCGGAAGATGTGGAGAGTTACATGCAAACTCGGCGCAGAAAGGAATTAGGTGAGTCCGCGCGGCGTGGCGAGGCGAAGTGTACCCTCTCTCCCTCCCGCCCTCTCTCCTCTCTCTCCCTCTCTCTGTCCCTCTGTCCCTCTTTCCCTCTCGCTCTCGTTCGCTCCGTCCTTGCCTCTCTCCTCGCGGTGGTTGTGCGCGAATAGGTGGAGAGATCCGTTCAAACTTGGCCCCAAAACCAAATAGGTAGGTTAGCCCGGCGTGCGCGAGGTGCTCTCTCTCTCTCTCTCTCTCTCTCTCTCTCTCTCTCTCTCTCTCTCTCTCTCTCCCCCCACCCTCCTTATATCCCTCCTTCCCTCCTCCCTCCATTTTGTATGGGGGTACCATGTTGCAGGTGGAACAGGATTTGTGCACGGCCGGTATCGGAAGGAGTTGGCGGGGATCATGCCGTGCATGCGGGAGAGGCAGGGGGAGAAGGAACACTGCCGTCTTCCCCCGAACACAACGCACCGTAAAAATGAATGTATACAAGCTATATTTCCGGCCAGATACTGCCAAAATGAGGGTGCGTTGTGTTCGGGGGAAGACGGTAGGGGGAGGTCCAGTGCCTGGTCAGGCAGGCAGGCAGTAAAAGGGGTCGCCAGTGGAATGTTGATAGGCTGGAGTAGCAGGAGAAGGACGAAGAGGAAGGGTGAGGATGCGGGATCAGGAGGATGAGAGAGGGGGCGGGATTTGGTCGGTCAGGGTGGGATGCCACGACAAAGGAAGCAGAAGGAGAGTCGCCGCGATAGGTGAAGCATGCAGGGCAAGTTTGCCGGCGTAAAGGAGGTTGTGGAGGAGAAAGACATCGAGGAGAGTCTTAAAGGAAATGGGAGGAGGATGTCGGTCGGGACCCCGATTTGCGAAGAAGAGGTAAGGAAAGGAGAGAGCAGGATAATGACGAAGGACCTGAATCATGAACGAAAGGGATAGGGTAAAAGTGATATGGAGGTGATGGAGAGAGAGGAAGGAAGAGAGAAAGAGCGACAGACATGGGAAGAGAGGAGAGGACATACCAGATCGGCAGGAGCCACGTCGAGGTTTGGAGAGCAGGACCTCGATGAGGATCCCAATGAAGTAGAGAAAGGCGTGGAGGCAGACGGGAAAAAGAGAGGCGGCAGACACAGCACAAGGGGATAAGATGCGGAAAAGTGGATGGTGGGGGAAAGATCGGGAGGGGGAATGGAGGGCGCAAGGCCAAAGATGGAATCGGACAGGCGGAAATGAGGCTATGGGGACGGAAGAAAGGGAAAAAGGCGAGCGGGTAGGGACGAATGTGTGTGTGTGTGTGTGTGTGTGTGTGTGAGAGAGAGAGAGAGAGAGAGAGAGAGAGAGAGAGAGAGAGAGAGAGAGAGAGAGAGAGAGA